CTATTTTGTTGCCGAGAGATAATCCATGGTTTTAAAAGTCTCCTTTGTAAAATGTATCAGAAATGCCGCAGTAATGCAAATCTAAAAATCTGTTGTCTTTCTTATTAAACATGAAAACAAAAGGCAACAAGACTTTATAGTGCAAATAAGACTGTGGTGGCTATTTGATGTGTAAATTCCTCGTCCATGTGATGGATGTTTCATGTCAGCTCCTCATGTGACGCATAGTGTGCTGGCCTATTGCCTGTTGGGCCAGGTGGCCATGGGTAGGCTCCTGTCACTATTGTAACAGCACTGTTGCTATTCTCCAGATGTTGTGAGTTCTACAGTAGCCAACAGAACATATGTTCCCTGAAGGATCCACCAACATTCAGATCAATGGCTTCTGATGAATGGATGGATTTTATATTTGTAAGGCAGTACACGATTACAGTCCAAAGAAAGTACACTATGTGTTTGATTAGTTTACAGAGGAAGCGATGTCTGATTTGATGCAGTCAACAATGGTTGTTTGAAACTGGGCAGTCAATGTTAAACAGACTTTCTGTCTGGACACTTTGGGGTGAAGGAAGCTGTCTGTATCTTTGGGTAAAACCACTGACAGGGACAGCAAAACGTTCGATCTAAAATGCTAATGAATGGAATGTTTTCACCTAATGTAACTGAGATTCTGGTGTTTAACCCACAATGACACATGCTAATTGAAACAGCATATGGAACATGGATGCTATGATTACATTGTTTGGATAGGATCGGGAAATCCTTATTGTCCGAGTGGCATTTTGGTTTGCAACCGAGGTCCATGCAGGCAATACACATCCTAAAAACACCACAAAAGACATAAATACATACAATACAGTATGAAACATGGCTACCATGGATTTCATCATGATGGACGTGAGTGAGATAAGAGACACAACCCTCCATAGTAAAAGTGTACTGACAACAATGGCTACAGCTTCTTTAGAAACCCAACTTCTGATGGGACTAAGGACCTCAGGTATCGGTTAGATTTGGCCCTTCTAACATAAGTTAACCTCCTCACTGTCGGTAAAGGTCTATTCTAAACTCTGCATGCTTCCAGGATGGCCTTTGCCCTCTGTTCGGCTCTTATTTGAAAAACATGGCTGTGGAGTTTCACTTTTTTTGCGTTCCATTTGAAGATTTAAAGACGATTTTGATCTATATCCAAGACTGCAGCAGAATGTGATAAGGGGAGATCAGTGTGATTTTAATTTGTTATCTCTGTGATTCAAGGAACTTAGTTCAGAAAGAAAGAGATGCAAAGAAGTAAGAGGAAGCATTTAGAAGAAGTATTGTGGCAGCAGCATTGTGTGCATGGATGCTGTTTTTCTTAGGACTGGATAAAAGAATAGAACAACAGTACAGTATGCTGGGGCTTCAGAGGGTTTGCAGTCGGATGTGAATGCTGATACTGTTTCATCTTTGCAAAGTTGGCTGACTTGGATGCGTTGATGTAAGCTCTCGCTGCTTCCCATAGTGCTCGTCATGATGTTTACGTGACAGCTCTGCAGTAAGCATTCATGAGTAAACAGAACTCACTGAATAAGCTTTACAGGCCTCATCCTCTTGGCTTGTTAGTAACTCTGAAATCCTGTGTTTCTGGTACTTGGCGTGGTGTGTTTTGGAGAGAGTTCGAGCCTTCTCTGTATGTCCGCTTCAGGCTAGCACTTCTAGGCTACATTAGCAGCTCCTAGAATAACACACCCAGATCTCTGAACCGAGCCATGGGTTTTGAGGTGGAAGAAGAACGTGTGAAATTCAAAAGACAATGTTTTTAGTTTGCTTTATCGGGTCTTCATCCTCAATCATGAGCCCAACAATGTCACAGGAGTGTCGCAAGCATTTTGAAATGATTTTCAAATATGGACCTTGCTGTTCAAGTGATTTTATTTCAGGCAGACACTGTTGGCTGATACATTTATGTTTCTTAAGGATTCATTGAAACATGACGGTCTCCATACTATGGCTGTGGCTCAGTAGTTCAATCCCCAGCTCCTGCAGCCACATGTCCGATGTGTCCTTTGGTAAGACACTTAACCCTAAAGGGCTCCCACTGCTTCAACGACAGTGTATAAATGTGTATGAATGGATTAGGTGACACTGATGGCCACTTCCCACAGCAGCCTCTGCCATCAGCGTGTGAATGGGTAGGTGTGACCTGCAGTGTTAAAGTGCTTGAAGTAGTCAGAAGATAAGAAAAGTGCTATACAAGCTCACGTACATTAACATTTACATAGAGTTTTAACACTTTTCATAAAGGCAATGAATTGGGTCTTACATAAATAACTATTGTACTGAGGCTTGCTTGCTTAAGTTCTCTCATCACTGCCCCTAAAATAATAATTAGAGAAAAATTGTCCGTGCTTATCTTATCGTTTATATCAATATGATGAAATCCTTTAGTAAACACTTATCGTGGGGCAGCTGTGGCTCAGTTGGTAGAGTTTGTTGTCTCTCAACTGGAAGGTTGAGAGTTCGATCCCCAGCTCCTTCAGCAACATGTCCGATGTGTCATGGGGCAAGACACTTAACCCTGAATTGCTTCGTCGGCGGTATTTGCATGTGTATGAATGGCATTAGTTACTCTGATGGTCACTTTACACAGCAACCTCTGCCATCAGTGTGTGAATGTGTAGGTGTGACAAGCTTTGAGTAGACTAGAAAAGTGATATACAAGCTCAAGTCCACCATTTACCTGCTGTTTTGGTTTATTTATTTTTCTCATCTGATATGAGAACAATCTTTTTTTTGACATCTATTGGAGAGACAGGCCAGTGGACAGTCCTAAATTGGTGAGGGAGAGAGTGTGGAATGACGTGTGGGAAAGGAGCCACAGGCCGGATTCGCATGAACTAAACTCTCGGCCACTGTCACCCCATATGAGAAGAATCTTCATTTAACTGACTATTTTCTTCAAGAATGAGATAAAGAGATACATCTATTTATGTGATTTATATTTTTTAAAAAATAGTGCTTTAAAAGAAATGTTCCTGTGTATGTTCAAGCTGCTGTTGCTGTAGCTTTAAATGTAATGTTATGGTATATTATTCAGAGTTCTACTAGAGTTACAAAAAGTCCAACTCAGCTAAGATTTCAAAATGCAACTGGCAACTACCACCCCAAACAAAGATAGAGATTAGCTGTAACAGTATATTTAGTTATTGTGTGTTCTCCACAGCACACCAGTGTTGGTATTGTAAATGTTAACAGATCCTGCTAAATAGTTTACTTTGTCCAACTCTCATTGCATATTTATTGTTTTAGTCGAGAGGACGGCTTATCTCCTCTCCTTTCTTAACTCCTTATTGTTACTCCACTAACTTTCCCAAACTTCAGTATCTTGCCAGAGCAGGTGTGAGAGGGCAGACGTTTCTCTCAGTCTGGTGTTGGGATAAGCTTCGATGTGTCAGCCCTAATTTTAAACCAAACCTTGCTTCCAATCATTTCATTATCTTCCCCCCCCCCCCACCAAGCCAAGACACCTGATAGTGTGCAGAGTGTAATAAATATTCCCCCTTTCTCTACCTACCTCTTCCTGTTTTTTCAGCTATTGATCGTCATCAGTCAGGAACTCTTTACCTGCTGTCTTTCCACCCTGTTCTTCTCTGTCTCATTTGCCTCCTCTTTTCAATATAATCTGTTCTCCCTCTTTTATGTCTTCCCCTCCTAATATGACTTCTTATGCTAAACCCTTTTTTTATTTTACAAGGTTAGACGTGGGGTGATTGAATTGATGTGACTGAAGTCACGGCACACATTCATTCACCTCTTGAGCAGTCATTCCATTTATGTTAATGCTGGCATATGATATACGCCTTTCTTTATCCAAAAGCTCTTTTAGTGCCAGTAAAAAGTATACATATGTAACACATGTGACCCTAGCAGTGATATATAAGACCTGACCTTGGAAGATTAAGTGTTGTGTTCAATCCACTTTCCAGGTTCAGACCAATCACACGTCAACAGACCGACCCACATTGAGTTCATTAGAGTAATGCTGCAGCTGATACCTGTTACTTAGTATAGCCAGAGGGCTCCACTGGGATTTGTAACAACACAAATGAATCTGCTGAGGAAGGATTTTTTTTAGGTATTTAGTTATAATTCAATGCCCTTTTGACTGCACGTATGATTATTTTATACATTTTTATAACAATGTGGTGGTGTGGGATTTTTATCCATAACCAGAAATCAAGCACATATTACCATTATATTTTCATTCTTCAGTTTAGCTCTACGATTAGGTTGTCTCTATGAACATAAATATGTGACAGAAAATATTAGTGTTGTATTACACAAAATCGGTCTTGGTCTCAAAACCACTTTTTCAAGGTCTCGTCTTGGTACCAGAAGGATTTTTACTCGATCTTGTCTCGGTCTCAGAATGGGCGGACTCCGGATTTTAAATCAAGACCACCACTGATACTGATACACTATTTGCCGCATCATTCCTGTGAGTAAAAAGAAAACTCCCCTTTCTAAAAAGAACAAATAACTTCAATTCATTCATAATTTGAATATTTTAATTGCGTGGTTACGGCCAAAGTGAGTGACACGCCCACTGAACACAACATGGTGATCTTTCATTGATATGTTTGGTCTTGTGTCGGGCTCGCCCTAGCTTGGTCTTGGTCTTGACTCGGTCTCAATCCCTAAATGTCTTGGTATTGTCTTGGTTTCTGAGCACTCTAGTCTTGGACTTGGAGACTCTAGTGTGGTCTTGACTACAACACTAATAAATATATAATTTGAAAGACAGAAAAAAAAAGTCCATGGAGAACCTGAAGGAATATGATGAGATAAGAAAAGCAAAAAAGGTTATATTCTCTATCGTAAAGACGAGAAATCCCATTCCTCAGAATCTCTATGGAAACACTTTGACTCATCAGGTGAACTTGAAAAAAAAAAGCAAAAAAAAAAGCAAATGTGTCCGTGCCCTCACTGATCTTTTTTTTTCTTCCTATGTTTCTAGATCCAAGAAGCCCTGTCTCTACTGTGTGACCCTACACCCCCTCAATTGTCCTCTGCACCACCTGTGTATCCTCAAGATCAAAGATCCGCCATGGAGAACCTAGGAGCCCATCGCAGCAGGGAAGCCCCTTCCCCCCCCTCCTCATCTTCTTACACTACCTCCAGAGGAACAGCTAGAGACAGAGAGCGAGACCGAGAGAGAGACAAAGACAGAAACAGAGATAGAGAGAGAGACAGAGAAAGAGAGAGAGAACGAGATAGAGACAGAGACACGGACAGGAGCAAAGGGAGGGACAAAGACAAAAAGAAGAAAAAACACAAGAGGAGGTCAAGATCTAGGTCACGGTCGAAGAGCAAACATTCCCTTCCCAGTGCCTACAGGAGATCCCGCAGGTCTCGGTAAGACACCAAAAGCTCAATGACTTGTATTTTTTTTCTCTCCCTGTTTGTCTTGTTATCTTACATTTGATAATTCAGCAGGAGAAATAAGGCTTTAGCCCTGACAGTGCTCAGTGTAGCTGATCTGTATCGTCCTCTGCTGCTCCTTTCCACGGATTCTAAACCCGTGAAAAGTACTTTAATGTTCGCTGTTGTTTTAGGTGTTGTTGTGCTTCATACTGTTATGACGCTGCATTGGTGAAGATGCAATTTTTTAAATTTATTTTTTAATAGCCCTGACCTCACTATATTCTGAACTATTATTTCATTATAATTATTGTTATTCAGTATTTTGTTGATATTGTGATCCCGTTGAACTACATGTAGCATTTATTTTAAGGCAAGCTCACGAAAAATGACTGACAACATGATCACCATGCATCAGCCTCTTGTTTTCATCTGCACAGGTGAACCTACAGTCACCAGGGCACTGCACCCATATGAACCACAGTAGTAATAGAAGATAATGTATTCCTTTTCTACATGTCTGCAAGCAGCAAAAGTGTGAAGTAAATGAAAGATATGCAGGCTTAGAAGCAGAAGATTGAAGACTAATACATTCATAGAAAGGGGAAGTGATCAGAGGTAGAAAAAAAAAAAACGCTTTGTTTGTGCCATTTATCTGTAAACGATATTGACCAGGCACGTTTGTTTTGCCTCCCCAAGACAGGCTGACATTATCTCAGCATGCCTGTCCCTCCTGGCTTTGTTTTCAGGTTATTTTCATCTCTAACTCTGGATGTTACAAGTCTTTGCATACCAGCCAGTGTTGGGACAATGAATTTAGCAATATACCCTTTATGGGAATCTATCTTAGAAATGAATGAATATCTTATATTATTTTATAAATATTTGATACTGTTTTCTTTCCAGGCGCTTTTAAAAGACACTATTTACATATTCAGAGTCCATGTGATGTAATGCTTATAAAAGTTATTCAGAGAATTACAGTGTGGTTTTTTTTCCTGCAGCAGTAGTTAAAGTCGCTTTAAAACTGCCTTCATATAAATTCTGACACATTGAGGTCTTTAAATAGTCCGATAGAATCGCTACAAAGCCTCATTTATTATTCCTGCTCTTGGGTTCCTTTAAGAACCATCCTGATTGCTCGCCTCATTTCTTCCTCTTGCACATTACCTCCGTCATTGTCTTATCAGCCTCCTCTCTTGTTCTTCATTTTAAATTCATCAGCTCATCTGCCAAGCTCCATTTTCTGTAATTTAATGGCTTTCCCCCCTCCTCATCCCCTTTTTACACTGTCTTTGTGCTTCTGTCTGTCCAGATCCCGCTCGCACTCCCCGGGGAGAAGGGACAGAAGGGGCCCCTCGTCAGAGAGGAGACGTGACGAGAGAGAGCGAGAGCGCCATCATCCCAGCAGCAGCTCCAGTCGTCCCAGGGGGCATTCGAGATCCAGGTAAACCTGACAGCAGGTGTTGTCAGTCCGTGGTGAGAGGAATCACGGGTCTCCTCTCACGGCTGCTCGTATTCTACCACTGAAAACATCCATTATTAAACCTGTTAGGGCAGAGAGGGGCACTAACACTGCCACGACAAGGTGCTCAGTTCCACATTTCAATATCCATTCGTCATTAAAACAACGGGGAGCAAGGATTTTTAATCAGACAAGGTTTTGTGTTTATCTTCTAAACACTGAGCACACTGAGTGTACAAAGCTGCCTGTACATCGAGCTGTAGCCAATCTGATGACATAAAAGACATCAAATCCCCAAATGACCACTCGTAAAACTGTGACAGACCGCCTCTTTCTGCGTGAATATGAAGTAGAGCTTGTTGAATATGCAAGCTCTTCCTTCATAAAATATTCCACAACCCTTGATATACTGTATCATTTGTGGAGTGACTTGCGAAATAAAATAGTTCCCACGGTGCACTTCTTGTTTTGTCTCCCAGGTCCCCTCCAGATAAAAAGAGGAGCGCCTTGTCTTCTTCAGGTCACATGCAAACTGCAGGTTCCTCTTTGTCCCCTTACTCCTCACCAGGCAGAGTTTTGTCCCAGTCAGCTAGTCCCGCCTCCAGCCTAGGACTCTCCAGGTAACCCTCCACAAGCCTGTCAGTCAATGAGCTAAGCATTTGGATTGCTCTAACAGAAAAAATGTATCCACTTTAGAGACAACAGGTAGTTGGGAGGTTTTGGCTTTGAAGCTAAAGCATGATCAGACTTACACAATTCTAAATTAGTCTAACCTAGACCGAGAATAGATTGTTTCCTCCAGGCCTGAATCACTGACATACAAAGACCTCTAATAGGACAGTGCAGCAACTGTTGACCAATAAAGTAACCTGTCAAAATGAAGATGATGTTCAATTAATTTCCTCAATTTAAAGTCTTTCACCAAACACCATCTCTTCGTCTAAAACAAGGTCACACATTTATTTATGTTGTGAAGACTAAACTATTGAGCGTTCACAAACCACCTCCCATCAGCAGCTATTATTCAGTCTTAATTTAAGTAAGCATAACTTTGCTCAGCAGGTCTGTCATTCTCTTGAACCTCCCCATCAAAGAGGCGTGCATTGGGCTGTGGTAAAAAGAACCCCATGTTTAATGAATTTAGAGGGCGGTGTCTATTTTTGTGACAAAGACACAAAAAAAAGTGAGTCATCTGCTCTCATGGAAGTTATAAATGTTTGAATGCAGGTTATTAACTACATTTAAAGGGGTTGAAACAAACTTGGAGTGCTGTTCTTAAGACCACTGTGTTTTATTTCTGAATTATTTGGAAGCTGTTCCAGGATAGTGAAGTAAAAATGTGTAAGATATGTAGCTGCTTTATTTTGCTCTTTAAAGGGTTTGGGGTATTATCACACCAAGTGTTATACTCGAGATAGTCTTATGGAAATCAAACTCATAAGTCGTCATCCTAAATGATGTACATCAAACCAGTGTTTGTAATTATAAACATTACATGATATTGAGTATATTGCTATCAAACTGTAGACTCATTTTTCAAGGTTTCTTGTTGGAAGTGGAAATAATTAAGTCTGCCAAATGGGCAAATGAATCCAAAGCATGAGACAAACAGCTTGATCAGGTAGCTCAGGCTTTAGAGAAGCTGTGCCATAAAGAAGAAGCTATTTCATACCACGTCTGAGATCAGGTTTGAGGAAAAAAGGGTTCTAAAATGGAAAGGTGTGATGATCTAAAAACAGTAGCTACTGGACGATTTGGCAGTTAATCATTGTGTTGGACTTCTCAACACATCATTTCTCCGTTCTTATTTCTAAGTTTTGCCAGTTTTAGCCATCTGTGGCAGTTTCATTCAAAAGACACCTCAAGCTCAACTGCAATACTAGCTGTTAGAAACTGTGCGCCGGGTACAACACCAGCCTCAGCTCTGTCTGTGGTGTCGAAGAAATTGTAAATCCCAGTACGGACGGAGGAGACTTAATGCGTAAACTCTGAAAAGCTGGCGATATGATGTATCAGAGCAAACATCTTCTCAAGGTCTGAAGGCATGAATGTTTTTGTTTCACCGACACAGCCTCTTCTGATCGGATGTCATGGTCAAGCTGCATATATTATTGTCAAACTGCAAAACAAACTCATTGCTCTCATGTTCCCCTCCCCATTTAAACCAAAACAAAACCCACTGTAATACAGGAACTGAAGTAGGTCAAGCTGCTTGACAACAGCAGACAAATGTAGATACATGGAAAAC